CTGTGAAATAAAGCCATATTCGCCGCATTCCTGGCAAGACTTAATGTGGATTTTAGTGCCTTGAATTTTAGATTGAAGAAGGGGCCAGAATAAAACCCACTGTGTGACAGTTGAATTTATAGATAATTGTGAATATTTCTGTCCTTCAATAATAAAATCCCAGATTTTTTTCTTCTCTTTGAGTGAGAGAGGAATGTGAATTAGCTCTGATGTTAGCAGCTTAGTATAATGGAATGATGTCTGCAGTGTCTTTAGTGTAATGAACTCCTCTGTAATTAGCAGGTCACCCCCCTTCCCCGCCACCCCCTCGTCGGAGCTTATTTCCACCACGAATCCAAATAGAGAGCGGCATAACAATGGCTGTCCTGCAGCTGATGTTCAAACAACTTTCGTCTACAAGGCAGAATTTGTGAAATCGGGTCAAAATGATACTTCTCTCCGTGGCTATCAGTAGAGGAAAAAAGGTTTTTTTTCCCCTTAATTTACATAGCCAAGTGCAAATGTTCTGCCATCTGACAGATGCTGAAAGCACTGTAGGACATGACGATTAAAGTAAATATGGGCATTATTTGCAGAAGCCTTGGATAGACGTAAAAGTTAAGGAAGCATATGTAAATCGAATCGCTCTTTTTTTCCCATTTAAAAGCTATCACGTTTTTATGCCGATTTGTCCTATTATAGAACTTTTAGGGTGTGTTCAAACCCCGGAGATATACAACCTTTAGTACCCTAAAGTCATCAGCCACTACTAATTAAACCGTTTTAAAGCCAAACTCCAGGCAAACAGCTAAATACTCATATACAATACATATAAGGGAGCTGTTTTAGCGGCCTAAGGTTTTGTATCCCTGTCCATCAAGAGTTAAATAGCTCTGCCATGCAGCACAGGCCTGTCTGGCGGGTAAGGAGACCTGCTTTTTCTCTGCTGCAGTTAAAGTGACACTAAACTCAGGAGTTAAATCTTAAAAATACATTCAAGTACCCTAACTATTAATAAAAATGTATCTTATTTGTGTATCACTCAGTTGTAGATCCTCAAATAATCTCTGAATTGGCACTGACACTGTCCTTCCTTCTGGAGGGGGGTACTTTTGTTCCCCATGGTCCCTGTGTGTGTTGTAAAGTAGCCACCGCTCCAAGCTCATGATTACAAAGCTGATTTAGATTCAATATTTTATATCTGCCTAGAGTTCAGATTTCTTTTTATGTTTTCCCCTTACATTTGTTAGTCCTGGCATAGGGCAGAACACTGTGATACTATCTAGATATGCCAGTATGAATGTGTTTTTGATTTGGTTGTTATTGGTCACCTTGCAGTAGGAATTTCCTGTAGCTCACCTTATCTTAGTTTCTAAGAAAGCTGTATCTTTAGTGAATAAGCCCATTTATATGTAAGGGGTACATTTTTTGTTAGCCAGACACATAATCTGCAGTTCATTCAAGATAAGTCCTATAGCCTACCTTAAGCTGGCCATACACCTTACAATTATCTGCAGATTTTCTGTGGTCTGATGGAAAAGGTGCAACAGATTCCTCCATCTACACTTAACTGTGTGGATGGAGTAATCTCCACCTGGGCCAATCTGTTGCACTTTTTCCATCTGACCACAGAAAATCTGCAGATTATTGTAAGGTGTATGGGCACCTTTACACTAATGAACCATCAGAGATATTGGCTGCAAGTAGCACATTCCTCCTAGCCAATCAGTGTATGACAGAGGCGATAAAGGTAATTACTCAACCTGTCATGAAGTTCTGGGTGTTATAGTCAAATCTGGGAGCAGATCCCTTTTCCAAGGCAGTAGAGTACAAAGAGTACCAGATACCCATGTATGACACATTTGTCAAAAACACTTAAACAGTGGCAAGTTAAAGATTTGACTGAACTTTCATTTTAAATCCGCAAAGTCTTTGCAGTTTGTTTTCTTTAGAAAGCAGTCACAGCCTGAGTAGAAAAGCTTGTCCCATGCTAGGAATCTGCAAGGAATGCACATTGCTCTGTGAGTGGAAGCAGAGGTGTCTTTGCAGACATCTGACATACCCCCAGTCAGAGCTCTCCTATCAAAGGGGGTCATGGGTTTTGCTGACTGCAAAGCTATAAGGCTGTAAGTCTGACACAGCAGGGGGTGCGTTGGACCTCTAAAGAGAGATAACTGCTTCTACAGGTCAAGAGTCCTTCTCTACAGTATTCTGGCAAGGGGCAGGCTTTTCTACTTAGGCCATGGCTGCTTTCTTTAAAAAAACAACAACTCTACAACTTTATTTTGATGCACTTGGAATGTGTTTTGCCGATAGACTAACAGGGTTAAAAGAAGAGTTTGGAGAAGGCAGGAGAAGTGAACAATCTAGGACAACATAGCTGAACTGGAAATTAGCTGAATTGGAGACTTTTTCCAAATCAGCTATGTTGGCCTAGATTGTTCACTTCTCCTGCCTTCTCCAAACTCTTCACCCTTTTGTGAATAGCCCTGTAGGAGTTTAGTTGGGCATTGAGATGCCAAATACAACATCCAAAATAACCTCCATAAATAGGTCAAATACAGATACAAAGACAGTTCACCAAACAAGTGGTGGGATAACTACAAATGGACCTTTTCAACTCCATATTCAATAAGCACCCAAAAATTTAAACTTCTTAAAACCTTAAACTCAATTAGGACTTAGTCTAGATAGACAACATATACTACCTGATGGACAGAAAACATCAGCAGTAACTAGACAAGAAAGAGGATGCGCTTGGCATTGTTGCAGACAGAGGAGTCTGCAATATCTGGTGAAAGCCCAGTTGCGAGGAATGAATCTGAATGAATGTTTTAATCATGGCTGCATAAAATTCACTGCCGGGGAGAGAGAGAGTAAAAAGGGAGCGTATTTTAGTACCCTAATAACTCCTAACTGTAGCCTAAGATCATAATGTATGTGAGAGCAGTCCAGTAATTATAAGGTAATAAGTGGTTTTGTAAGTGCTCTAAATTAAAAGGAATTCACAGAGCTGCTCTAAGTCAGAGCTAGACCACTTTCTTTCATATGTTGGCCTAAGACATGACTGTAAGGACAGGCGAGCCACTTCTAGGGTGCTAATTAGTGTTAACGGATGAAGGTTGGAGAGTTATTAAAAAAAAATGTCACATATTGAACAGAGTTTCTGTATTTCTTAAAGAGGTTGCAGGCTAAGCACGGAGCCGTCTTTTGGTGAATCCCCACTAACATCAGTATTTGCTTGGAGTGTGTATGTTCTGCATGTGTTATGTAGGTTTTGATGTGTAGGTGAATTGGCTTCTGACTGGTTTAGCACTAGTGTGCATCAGGAGCTCCATTGAGGGCAAGGACTGCTGTGAATAGTTGTGTTGTAAAATTTCACTCTAACGTAGGTCAGTGTTGGTGATTTTTAAAGGACAGCTTCATTTTGGGTTGACTTTTGATTTGTCATTTTCATCCACCCTCCTCAGTAAAGTCCTTGTAAACAAATACCTAAAGTTCATCCAAACTCCTGATTTCTTCACTGTGTGGTCCTCCCTGGCACTGCCTTTGCAGCAAAAACTATTATTATGATTATTATTATACAGGATTTATATAGCGCCAACAGTTTGCACAGCGCTTTACAATATAAGGAAGACATTACAATCACAATACAAGTCAAGACAAGATGGTAAGGGGGGCCCTGCCCCTGAGGGCTTACAATCTAAAAGACGACCTGCTATGTCCAGCTTCTACTGGACATGCATTCCTACTTCCTTCCTATGACTGGTCTGTACTTATGTTGGCCCCTAACCACACGGAGTAGTACCAACCTCACCATAGGAATAAATAGGACTAATAGCATACAGGTCCAGTAGTAACTGGACCTGTCCAGGCTGTGTCGTGCTACAGAGTGCCGCACAGTCTTAACTCAAGCGTGGGGAGAAAGCTGGGTATTTTACTACCTGGACTTCACCAAGGGGGTTGTGGGAAACATTAAAGCATAACTTTATTAAAAGTAAAGTTGTCCTTTAGATTTATATGTATATATGTTTTCAAGATGTTTCCTAAGTAATTTTTCACTTCAAAACTGGGATTTTGCACGTTATTTGAGGCTGTAAGCCATTGACCAAGATAAATTAACCTTTGATATATGCTTTAAATACATTCAGTAGAGTCAAGAAAAGTTGGAGGTTATCGGAAATTTTAACTAATGGGTTAAAATCTTTCCCAGTTACAGATTTAGGTACTTAGCATTTGTATATCTCATCTAGTGAGTGTGCCTTGCACTTCTTCTATAGAAAAAAGGAACCATGTTGTTTACGGTGAGAGACAGAAACATGTAGCCCACAACTTTTTAATTTTTTACAGTCACTTTTAAAGTATGTGTGATATTTTAATGTAAAGCTGCTAAGGGAAAATTCAACTGGATATCCACATGGGAATTTCATAAGGCAACAAGGATATATTAACATATTTTCACACAAGTAAAACATAGAAACTGTACTTACAATGTATAAATTACATTTTGTAACAATCTATCCATGTATTAACTGGATTTCTGTTATTAACTATTTTCCTATATCATCATCACTGAGAGAAAAAATGGCATGTTTTCATATCCCTATCGAGGAATGTGATGTAATAATGATTGACGGGCCAACATAATCAATTGCATGGTATCGGAATTTACATGTTCTTGTGCAATCGTTTTTGAAGGGTTTTTTTTTTCATTTTTGGTTAAGCCTCCAGTACTGCGGTGTGTTCGTCTTCTCGCATGTACAGTTTTGCGATTGACAAGCGGTTCTACCTTTGGGAAACGGGATTTGTGCTTTTTAAAGTTTTTGTTTACCGTCTGTCTGTAACATTGCTAAATCTCTGTCATGGCCTTATGCTGATTACCTTCATGTACAACAAGAGTTATTGACTGATGGATGAATGATGTGCAGTCTTTAGCCCCTACAGAGCAATCTTAAAGAATAGGAAGCTTGCTTTTTATTAAACGGAGTCTTCTCTTTTCTCTCCTCCTTATTACCATGCAGGCTTCTCTGCAGAATGTCAAACAAAGATCGACACATTGATTCAAGCTGCTCGTCGTACATCAAGACGGAACCCTCAAGTCCAGCTTCCCTGACGGACAGTATCAACCACCACAGCCCAGGTGGCTCCTCTGACGCCAGCGGGAGCTACAGTTCCACCATGAATGGGCACCAGAATGGACTGGACTCGCCACCATTGTACCCTTCGGCCACAGGTCTTGGTGGCAATGGGCCTGTCAGGAAACGATACGATGACTGCTCCAGCACCATCGCCGAAGAGTCACAGACCAAATGTGAATACATGCTCAATGCAATGCCCAAAAGACTGTGTCTGGTGTGTGGCGACATAGCGTCAGGCTACCATTATGGGGTTGCTTCATGTGAGGCCTGTAAGGCTTTTTTCAAAAGGACAATTCAAGGTTGGTGCTTTATTTTTTATCAGACAATATGTATACCAAGTCAAGACATTGTTATAATATCACCAATTTTTTAAAATGAAATCCTTATGTCAATTTTCATATATATTTGGTAAAGGTTTTTATGGCCCAATTCTATAAGATTCACCACCAGAGACATTAATCAAGTAAGTAATTCAAGGCGTAAGTGCACAGTGCAGTCACCCTTTGCAACCAGACAGACTTACAGATGCCAGACAAATACAAGATGGGTGCTGATTGGTTGTTGGCAGCTCTACACTTTGCTCCTTGGCTATTTTATTGATTAAGCCTACAAGACTGTTATAGAGAATCAAGTCTTCAGTGAGCTGTTTAGTTAAATGTATTAGGACACAGATCTTGGATTATTGTTGGTAGAATGAGCTTACTAATCAAAATCATACTTTTTTGGCCTACTTTAGTCAGCTGCCAGAAAAATACTGAGGCCAAAAGAATCTTTTCATATGTCTACATACCCTTCAACTTTTTAAGATAGGAAATAGGGGCACCTTTTAGCACGAGGTAGACAGGTAAAAGAGACACTCCTGCCAGGCCCTGTTAAGTGGACCATGAAGATTGAATGCACAAAAAATTATTTGTTATAGCCACTTTTGCCTTCTTTCACCACTACATTTTCTTTTTTTTTTACAACATAATAAATCCTATAATATAGGAGACTGGATCAAACATTTTGTGTAGTAAAACATTTATGGTAGTTAAATAGTTTATTTATGTGTAGCTATACATCAGACCAAAAATAGCGACAACTGAGGAGGAAAGAGGGACAAAGGCATCAAAGTTGGTTGGGAGCTATGTGTCCAGCATCTTTTGTCTCCTGTGTCAGACTGGATATTAAAGTGCACCTGTGGCCATTCTATGGACATTCATGGTTGTACATATTCTTAAGCATTCTTCTTCTAAGCAGTAAATGACCTTGAAAACAAGCCCTTTCTGGCCTCTGTAGATACAGACTTTGTGGAGCAATTCAACCTAAAAATTCACAATAGAAGCACTGTAATCACAGATCATCTCCTGTTGATTCCTCTGGCATCAGGGACTTGAAAGACAGCCTTTGATTATAAATTAGATTGTGACTACAACCAAATCTCGGAGTCTGTGTTATGATCTTTAAGAGTAAATTACTCTACAAGGCCACTGTCCTCCTCTCACCACTGACAGCACCAACAACAAAAATTTTATATTGTATATTATTTGTTTAATTGTTTAATTTCTTAATTGCTTCCTGGTTGAGGTGATTGTAGCTGTGTTAGTCTACTTACAACAACACAGTTGAGTACTGCCCATTTTATTTTACAATAACAGTTACATTTTCAGGACACGTTTTTGGGGATCTACCCCCCTTCTTCCTTGGTCCAAGTAGTGCTGTTTGTGCAAATCAAAAAAATATCATGGACAGTAATCAACTGTGTTATGTTCTTCCTGGTTAAAAGTGACCTCCTGAATATTCTGCTGTTTGTGTCTGCATTGAAGGAAGGCGTTTAGAGATACATGTCACATGCTCTCTTCCCACAGTCAATATATGGATTGCAGAGAATGGAAGCTTTAAAGCAAAAGAGTCTCAGACTTATTCCGTAAGGCAGTGTACAGTGCAATTAACACATGCAAAGTGTTGTAACACAGAGCAGTATACCATGGCCAGATCAGCTATGAGAGGATTTCCATTTGGTTCTAGTGGGTTACTGCACTTATACATCATTGTTGATCTTTACACTGTGTTACAGAATATATTTAACTTAGTGGGCCAGATAAATTATGATATGCAAATTAGGTTTGCAGATTGTCACAGGTGACATCTTATTTTGGTGCCCTGCTGAGTCAGACTTAATGCTCTGCAATCATGCTCCCTGCTGATTGCAGATATTTAGTTCTGATTAACCAGGGGGCTTTTTGGAGCTCTGCAGCGAGACCACTGTTTGCACAGGGTCCTTCTCTGCAATATGTTGGCAGGGGACAGGCTTTTCTACTCTGTGGCCATGGCTAATTTCTAATGAAAACAAACTGTAAGAATTTGCACACCTTGAGGGGAATTAATCAAAACTGGAGCAGACAAAATCTGGACTAGCTGTGCATGGCAACCAATCAACTTCTATGTTTCATTTTCAAATCTTAAATGAGCAAACTGAAGAGAGAAGCTATTTGGTTGGCATCTATTCCAGATTTTGTCTGCTCCAGTTTGGATAAATTCCCCTCTATGTGTTTTGATGCAGCTGAAGTGTATTTAGCTGATTTAATGGCTGTTTTATTCATTCTTTAGACGAAGAGGTAAATAAGACTGTAAGACCTGCCTGTTTTTAGTAATAGTTACTCCCCATACCTTTCCCCCTTTGTGGCCACAGAGGGGTTGATGATGCTGCAAGAAAGACAATATTTGATGCCCAAGTCATGAGCAAATGTATGCACATTTGATTAATATATCCCCTTTCCCATTGCACAAACGTACCAGGGCATTCCGAAACACGTATCAACTGTGCAGAACTTTAATCTTTTTTTCATTAACTCAGCATTTGCGTATTAACCGCTGCAGCAGTACCCTGCAATCTGTGGAAACGTCTAATGTACACAACAGGTTTTCTTACACGGCACTGCCATTAGAATACAAAACGGGCTGATAGCTGTATTTAAATGAAGATAAGTACATTTCCCGATAGAAGATAAACCACTTAATGGACACTCCACGCGACTAGATTGGCCGCGGCTTATGCATTGTTTACAAGCCGCTGCCCCGGGTCAGCGTACTGCAAACCTGTGCCACTTTTCCATTAGAATGGAGAGTAAATAGAACTGAACCTTGCGGCTTTTGTGCCTCGTGATAACATTTTACTTTTTATCCAAAGTCACGATAAGAGCTGTTATTAACTACCCGTGGCGTCATTCCACTAGCGGTTAATCTTGCCGTCCTTTGCACTTGCCTTTTATGCCTAATGCCAACCTGAAGGTGAGCGTTACAAGTTCTGCCAATAAGTAAGATTTTCTTTTCCAGAACTTTTTTTTCTAGCGTTGTAAACAAACAAAAGCGTTGTGATACATTTTATTGTTCTTCATTAAAAATTAAATAATTATCTTTTAAACTCCATTAGATGAAAAAAGTCATGTAAAAGCAACAATGAGATCAATGCACTTAAACAAAAATCTCTACATTTTATGTTTTCATTCAAATTGCTTCTCGGTGAACTTATAGGCTGCATTCCCAGAAATATGTGTTCAGCCCATGTGGTGAATGTCCTCAACTGCTACTGTTTAGGGGAGACAGGTGCACTTTAAAGAAAAAGCACAATTGTATTTGAATGTAATTGGCAAAAAATATAAACAGATGAATGAAAAACATACCCTGGGAAATAGTCAGATGATAACTGAAAATGTTTTTTGTTATCACGCTTTATTATTTTATATTGACTTAGCTCGTTTTTTTAAAGACAGGTAGTATCATAGTTTGTCTTTTAGAGGCCGGTACTTCCCGAAGACATGGAATACATGATATATATATATGTATATATCTATATATATAGATATATATCTATATCTATATATATAGTAGTTTTTTCTGTTATCCCTTTTACAGCTGCTAGCACTAAAAGGATGTGTTTCCTAAACTTTTCCTTCAACTCCCGCCAATTTTGCAAGTTTTGCTGGTAACCTTCCATGTGCACAGCTAGGGTTATTAGTGTGTTAGCAATGCCCTTTAGCCACTTGGGTGATTATCCACAAAGCATACATAATTTGGTATAGTGGGATTTTCCCAAGCCAAAAACTTGATTCCTTTTTAGGTTTTTGAAAGATTAGTAAGGATTAGAATTCCTGTTGGGTTTTTTCTACTATCCGGGGAGAGACATTTACCCCCACTTCCTGTCCTGCAGACAATGATTTCACCAGACAGGAAGGAAGGGGAAATCTTCAACTGGGAAACAAACGGAAATACAAATCTGACAGGCAATTTAAAAAATAAATTTTTTGCTGTTTTTTTAAAAATTTCTATCTGTGTTTCTGTTCGTTAATGCTCTTCGCTTCCTGTCTAGAAAAACGTCATCAGGACAGGAGGTGAGAGTAAATCTCTCTAAATGAGCCCCGGATAGCAGTAAAAACCTGGCAAACATTCTAATGCTTCTCCACTCTATTGAAAACTAAGAGAAAAATGGTTTGGCTGGACATACACTTTAAATGATTTTGTAATAAAAAAAACAACATTAACTGGTGTGATTATATATCTGCCTGCAGTTTAGCCTTAAGTCTATGAAATCATCATATCATATCATATCATCTATGAACTGAATCTACAAAAGGGACCGTTTAATTTTGCCAATACCTAAAAAACAGGACGGCTCTGTAACATACAAAGTACAGATGGCGATGAAGCATATATGCTATTTTTAAAACAGCGGTACAACCCTTTTAACTGACTTTAAATGCAGCTACTAATGACATATGCTGTGAATGATCAAATGTCCAGATTTTTACTCTGAAACATTTTGCTAGTAGACATCACCCGGCATTGCTCTGCCAGCTGCAAAACCACATTAGGTTTCTACTAGGGACAGACAAATTAACTTCTGGCACTTGACAGGGGAGGGCTGGCTAGCCCCTGTAAGCCAGAGATCTGTAAGATTCCATTAACAAGTATGAGAGCAAATTACACCGTCTGCAAACTAATTGTACAAGATTGTTATTATTGCCGTTTTAGAAAAAAAATGCCCAGGATTGTTTTGCTTTGCTTGGGGACCAGCCAAGGGTTATTTTGAATTGTTTTATAATTTTTGTCATGCCCAGCATAGACATCCCTACTACCATGTTGGTTTTGTTCACTTCAAAGCACAAATACATCTGCAATCATGGAGGGAAACAGGCATAAAACAAACTCATACTATGTGCCCAGTTAACCATCTGTCCTTACCCAACCTCATCTGGATGCACGAATGGCCAAATATTTTTTTTTTATTGTATCACGAGAGCAAATTTTGTTAAATAGATGA